ATACATTAGCTGGTGTAGTTCCAGCACACACTATATGGAATGAATCTCCTGTTACTGGAATACCAACATCCATTATGTCAATCATTGGTAAAGGCACAACTAGGAAAAAATTTGTTATACGTCATAACACTGTGAATTATTACACATATACAACATTAACTACAAATCTAATCATGCAAGTGAACAAATAACCACTTACTTTCCACAATGACATTAGTACTAGTTGATGTAACAGTATCTGATGGTATAATCAGTTCAAACCCATTTACAGTACTAGCAGGTCCAACACTAGCAGTACAATAGTAATCAGTTCCATTATCTGATAGAGATGCAGTGAATGTTAAGCTACTACCGTTAGTAGTAGGGTTGATCTCCCCAGTACTAATGCTATACTTAGCATCATTCATTGTAATGAGTCCATTAGGTCCAAACCAACTAATGTTAACATTAGGCTCAACGTCTAGTGGAGTAAAAGTGACAAAACACAATAACTGAATGTCATTGCTCTCAAAAATACGTCCTGTTGTATTGAGACGAGATGTGACCACAGGAGTAGATGCTACAGTATACATGAACAAAATAAATAATAAACCTGTCTTAACAACACTTACCTTGCACAGATACAGAATAATTTGATGTTATACGAACAGTATCAATACCATCATTTAGTTGAGCCCCACAAACATATTCTCCAACTTGTGATGCTTGCAATGAACTGAAGTTTAGAATAAGTGTATGTACAACAGTATCAATAACTGGTATCATTGTAGGCTCTAAACTATCTAAAAATATGTCTTCATCATCTGTAGAATTGAAGGGAATGAGATCAGGACTTGCCCAGAATATTTCCACCATAGTATCATTCACTTCAGGAGCCAATATCAATGTACAGGTTAATGAAAAGGAAGAAGAATGATCCAATGGCATCATAACTGGCCCTTGTGCTTCAATACAAACAACTAAATATTAATAAAATATTAAAATAATTATACTACAATATGTACATTGTACATGCATACCTTGAGGAACAGTAACAGTGATTATTTCACTAGGTAGATCTTCACCAGTAGCTACTAGTCTAATATTATATTCATCATTAGGATGCAATGAGAGAGACAGCTCAGTATTTGCAGTGTTGTAATTCACAATAACACCATTACTGTTATTAACAAAGACATGATACTGAGCATTAATCACTGCTGAGGGAGACCAATCCAGTGCAACTGAGCGAAGACTAGGTCTGCTATAGGTCAAGTTTGATGGAGATCCAGTAACTTTAAAAGAAAGACATAATTTAATTTGATCAAAGAATATGGCATATACTTACCAGTAATGCTCCTCATCGCCATGCTGGTAGATACTAAAGATGAATTTGCAATTCTGTCAGTAGTAACAGAACAGGTATATAGGCCAGACACTCTCATTCTAAACATTGCTAATACTTGTACTTGTACATCATTATTAACTGGTGTTACAGTACGTATCAGATCATTATCAGATACATTAAACTGGGTTCCATTATCAACAGAGCAAGTGACTATTGTTGGTGGCCTGTTATTGACATTAAATGATAAACTAAACACTGGAGGATCAGCATCAACTGATGAGAGGAGCTGGAAGGAGGAACCACTACCATCAATCATTGGAAGATCTGTAAAACAAAAAAAATAATAATAATTACACATACAGCATACATGTATCTATAATAATTTCAGTAACTTAATTAGCAATGCTTGCTTACCGTCATCTTTAGCAAAATCCCCATTACCATAAGCAGCAACATACAGCGTCTGATCAATTCCTTCTTCATTAAGTATAACACAACTGTATAGTCCTTGAATACCTCCTATTCCACCATTTCTTAACAAACCAATTTGACCAGTAGCAGTGTTGTTAGCAAACAGAGGACTACCAGAACCTAATGGTACAGTTGTTCCATCAGGATAATACCATGTTCCTATCATATTCTGATTAAGAGAACTCTGACACCACAAACCATCATTCTGACCATCAGGACTAACAGCATTACCAGGCTCATCAATATCAGTATCATGAAATAGACCAGCAGCTATCATTGAGAAATTAGCAATAGTCACATTCTCCTCACCAAGAAACAGCCTCACACCTTTATAATAATAAATCAATTAAACATAATAAATTAATGATCAATAATAATTATTATACCTGTAGTTGGACGAGGAGGTAGTGATCCAAAAAATGGTTGACTCTGTCCAAATCCAACTAGAGCAGTTAGTACCAAAAATACGAATAATAATATTTGAGACTCCATTACTAGAATAAAATTAAGTTAGGCATAAATTTTAACAGTATAATGAGTGCGCACATACACAAGCATGTGAATGAAGGACATGCACATATACGTAGAAATTCAGGTACTAGGAGAAAATTTTTTATTTTTATAATTTTTTCTATACATACATGTATGCAAGTTCTTATGTTGTGTAGCACATTTGAGCTGGTTCCAATCAAAATTAATTCTTTTACTAATTTTTGACGTTACTCAAAAATTGGGCCGAAGTCCATGTACAGTACAGGAATTTCAGCCTAATTTTTTCAAAATGAAAAGGAGAGAATTCTCCTTTTTTATAATTTTTCTGATACACATACATGTGCTTATGTTGTATAGAAAGTTTGAACTGATTCTGATCATGTTCAAAATTTTTTTTACAAATTTTTAAAGATGCTGCAAATGCCATGTACTGTATTGCAGCTCATGAAGCTCATGCTGTATAGCTCGCTTAAAGGGATACTGTTGCCATGTACAACTATCTGCATACTTTTCATAAAATTGATGACAAAATATGATTTTTGGAGACCAAAAATTGTGTTTCACTAAAGAAAAATGGCAGAACTTATGCAAAATTTCTTTGAGCTTCATATTGACATGCAGAAAAATGGAGAGAAGGTCATGCTAAGTTAAGATGTTAGATAAAGGCCAGAGAATAGCTCAGAAAGATATAGACTCCAACAAACACAGCTAAATGGTCAAACTCACCCGTCAAAAAGATGCTAGCTTTTTACGGACAGCAAGCTTGATGAAGAAAAATGCAGTTAAGTGCTTACCTCTTAGTTTGGTGGAGATAAACATAAGACATCATTTGTTGAAGTTCAGAGCTCAAGAAGCAAGAATCAGAGCATAGTCTGTTGCTATATTACAAGATATAAACCCGGAGCCATTTCTTGTTTATAAACTTTCCGTGTACTAAAGCCATGCAGCTCTTCAGTAAACTGCGCCAGTATCCCTTTAACATGCCTTGTAGGAAACCCTGCACTGAGGTACTACAAGGAATTCAAAATTCTACATTATTAATTTTACATGTACATGCAGATATGCAAATTTTAATAGTACCAATAGTCAATGTTTTCCATGTAAAATTGAAGAGGTGAAAGCAGTTAATTTAACTAATTAATTTTGATTTATATAAACTACAAGTTTCATTTAAAAGTAAAATACAAAAATTTAAAATGAGCCACGGTAAAGTAGATCTACAAGAAATAGTGACTTTTCAAAACACCCAGTACCAAATCC